GTCAGCATTCTCCCCATTTCCGCCCTGGGTTCCCCATTTCCTTTAGCCCTGATTTTCTACCCTTCTTGCCTTCTTATCTTTGCTTAAAGTACAACCCTTTCGGGTATTGTTGTTTATTTTTTGGGCTTGTCTATTGTTTGGCTGGAAGGTGGTTTCCAGGAACAGCTTCATTTCCAGGTCAGAAGGGTATCTTAGGGCCATAGTCTTGGGGGTTCCTTCATTCTTTGTCAGACCAGTAAGTCTGGTCTTTTTGTGAATTTGATCTTTTGTTCTACATTTTTCTCCTGCTTTTTCTGGGACCCTCTGTTCTAATCCCAGTCAGAGCAGTCAATAGTGGTAGCCGGGCACCATCTAATTCTTCTGGTCTCTAGGTCGTGTAGGCTGTGGTTCATGTGGTCCATTAGTCCTTTGGACTGATTGCTCCCTTGAGTCTTTGTTTTTTTTTTTTCACTCTCTTTAGCTCTGGACTGGAAGAGACCAAAAGCTGTCTCTTAGATGGCTGTTCATAGGCTTTTAAGACCCTAGACGCTATTCACCAAAGTAAAATGTAGAACATTGCCTTTAAGAACTATGTTGTCCCTTGAGTCTATGGTCCTTTGCCTTCGAGCCTGGGAACTTCATCCCATGAGGTGTTTAATTATGTCTAAGAGGTTTCCCTGACTGTGCCACTTGTGTGCTCTATTGTCTATATTAATATATAAGGAGAACCTACAGTCACATATTTAGAAATTTCCACCACCAAACCTGCATCTGCCGGTGGGTATGCTCCTTTACACCCTCCCTCACCTCTTGGCATATCTATCTGTCTATGTATCCATTCGTAAATTATTGTTTGTTAATACTATTGTTGCAGGATTGTCTATGCTATAGTAGTGACCCTAGTTGTCCTCTATTCCTGCGTTCCTTTCGGTGTCCTGTCTTGTCAGGCAGGATTTTATGCTGCAGTCACCTCCTCTCCCTTCTGCCCCTGTCCCTCCTGTGTTACAGTCTTGAGGCAGAATTTCTTTTCCGGGAAACCTCATATTTTGCTCTTAAGGCCTTCAACTGATTGGGTGAGGCTCACCCACATTTTTTAAAGTAATTTCCTTTACTTAGAGTCAACTGACTGTCAATGTTAACCACATCTACAAAATACCTTCACAGCACCACCTAGATTGGTGTTTGATTAAATAACTGGTACTATTGCCTAGCCAAGTTTACTCATAAGACTAACCATCGCAGGGATAAAAACAGGTTTTTATAGAGGGTATATAATGTGACAATTATAGCTAACACTTTAATATAGTGTTTACTATGTGCCAAGCACTTTTCCAGGTGTTTCTATACATGTTAGCTAATTTAATCCTCACCACAACTTCTGTGGTAGGTGCTGTTGTTATTCTCATTTTATAGGAAGAGGTGAAGGGCCTTCCCAAACTGACAGCAAGTAGGTGGCAGAGGAAAGATTTGAACCCAGGCCTCTGAATTCAAAGTCTAGGCTCTGAGCCACCACTGTAGTATACCACCAACATGAGCATGTATTCTTATATCTATAGGAAAAAAGTCTGGAAGATGAGACAAAAAATGTAACCAGTGGTTTTCTCTGGGTCTTCCAAGTTGGGATGACCATGGGAGACTTTGACTTTCTTTTTTTTCTCAAATGGCTCACAGTGACCAGGTTCTACTAATGTGTATTGAAAGAAAAGCTGTGGTTTTAGCAGGGACCCCAATGACTTGCTTAGGTAACAGGCCTCATCTCCCCAAGATCTCTATCTTGTCTTGACCCTGTTTTAAGGGTCTGGTTAAATGCAGATAGACCAGTACCTTAGACATATGTCACTTTCATGGAGCTAAGATGTCTGAACTGGAAGGCACCTTAGAGTATAATTCTTATTTCTCCTGTGTCACCTGTGAGGAACGTGCAACCAGAGAGGGCCGGGCTGCTGGCTGCATGTGGCAGCCCTGAACTTCTGTTTTTTCCATTACATTATGTTGCCTCCGAAGGGCAGGAGGTGTGTGGATCTCCAAGAGCTTCCTCTTCCCTCAGCTCTTTTCTCTCCACTGCTGGAAGCAGCCCCTGACCCTGCTGACATCACTTCCCACTGATTAGGAATCTGGCCTGGGATTTCCAGTGACTAAAGTTGCAACTCTGGAACTTTCCATCCTTAACAGATCACTTCTTCTGGAGGCTCTCTCTCTGCAGGAGGCTGTCGCCCTGCCCCCCAACCCATTCCATGCAGAGGGGAGAAGGTGTGCAATCTGACCTCATGACTACCTGGCTCTGAGGTCTCCAGGGTCCCCATTGTTCTTAAGGTCAAGTCCAAACACCATAGCTCAGCATTCAAGGCCTGTCACATTGTGGTGTTGGGCTTAGTTTCTTACCTCCCCTCCCCCTTCTCAGTCGACCTCTGCTTGTCTCTTAGTTTCTTAGTGCTGCTGTAACAGAAATGCCACAAGTGAATGGCTTTAATGAACAGAAATTTCTCACAGTTCAGGAGACTAGAAGTATGAATTCAGGGCACTGGCTCTAGAGGAAGGCTCTCTGTCCACTCTGAGGGAAAATCCTTGTCTCAGCTTCTCTAGTGTTCCTCTTAGCCTTCCTTGGTTCCTTGGATATCTCCACGTGGATCTATCTTTCTCCCTTTTGTGCTTGCTTGCTTGCTTCTGTGTTTAATCTGCTCTTTTTATATCTCAAAATTGATTAGGTTTAGGACACAGCATACAGACATGGCCTTGTTAATGTAACAAAGAAAGCCCTATTTCTAAATGGAATTACATTCACAAGTATAGGGGTTAGGATTCCAACACATTTTTAGAGGACATAATTCAATCCATAACAGCTTGTATTTCCCAAACAGAAACCTCCTTGAGGTTTTGGTTTACTCCCACAGCATCACCAGAGGTGTCACAGGCCTGGCACACAGCAGGGACTCCATAAGTATTTGTAGAATGAATGAATGAACAAATAACTTGATGTTCATGTAGATTCCTGCCCCATGATTTCTGAAATCCTGGGACTGAAGCTTGAGTATTTTATTCCTAGTTTAAAAACAATGTCCCCCTCACTTGAGTAAACTCTGGGGAATACTATATGACCATTAAAAATACTGTATATGGAGAGCTCATAACAACTGGGAAAATGGTTAGGTATAATGTTAATAAATAAAAACAGGATGCAAAATCTTGTAAGCTGGCAGCAATAACATCCCAAACCATACCTATGTGGAGGGGGAACTTTTTGGGAAGAGAAGGTACCCTACTGGCCACGTGAGGATGGGGGGACTCTGTGTAATTTGTTTGTTTCCCCTTTTATTTTCCAAGCTTACTTTAGTGAACAGACATTAATTTTATCTTAAGAAATGGAAAGAAGGAATGTATTATTCTTATTATTGCCAACATTAGCCCCCTGCTTTTGTACCATACTTAAGAGTTGGCAAAATACTTTAAGATCTGTGGGCTCTTGATCCTTACAACATTTCTGTTAGGAGGTGTCTCAGTCATCTAGTGCTGCTCTAACAGAAATACCACAAGTGGAGGCTACAAGTCCAAATTCAGGGTTTCAGCACCAGGGGAATGCTTTCTCTATCGGCTCTGGAGGAAGGTCCGTGTCATCAGTCTTACCTTGGTCTAGGAGCTTCTCTGCTCAGGAACCTCAAGTCCAAAGGACACACTCTGCTCCTGGCACTGCTTTCTTGGTGGTATGAGGTTCCCATGTGTCTCTGTTCGCTTCTCTCTTTTATATCTCAAAAGAGATTGCATTAAGACACGATCTAATCTTGTAAACCTCATCAGTATAACCTCATCACAGTGATAGAATTTACAGCACATAAGGAGATCACATACAACCTCATCATAGTGATAGAGTTTACAACACATAAGGAAATCACATCAGATTACACAATCATACAACACTGGGAATCGTGACCTAGCCAACTTGCTACACACATTTTCTGGGGGACACAATTCAATCTCTGACAGGAGGGTATGGAATGGGTCCATTCATTGATTTGTCATATGTTTATTGAGTTCCCCCACTAGGGCTGGGACTACGGTGAAGCTAGTGAGACACCTGGGGCACAAGATTTAGGGAGGCACTTACTCTCAGGGTCGTACACATGCAGGATCAGCCCTGTGAGTGAGTGCCTCCTTAAATTTTGCACCCTAAGTGCGCCACTTGCCTTACCCTAGTCCCAGCCCTGCCCACCACTCTGTGCCAGGTCCTGTTCTGTGCTGTTTTTATCGTTGTTAACTGCGGTTGTGTTGGCCCTTGACTTATGGCAACCCCACGTACAATGAAACAAAATGCTGCCTAGTACCGCGCCATCCTCATGATCAGTTGTGTATCGAACCATTGTGATCCATAGGGTTTTCATTAGCTGATATCCAGAAGCAGATCACCAGACCTTTCTTCCTAGTCCATCCTAGTCTGGAAGCTCTGCTGAAACCTGTTCAGAATCATAGCAACACACAGGCCTTCACTGACAGACAGGTGGCGGCTGCGCGTGAGGTGCATTGGCCAGGAATTGAACTCAGGAATTCTATCACTGAACCACCACTGCCTCCTCACTGTTCGGTGTAGTGGAGATACAATAGTGAATGAAAGAGATAAACTCCCTGCCTACTATTCCATTCCAGCAGGGGAGGCAAACCAAATTCTATCGCCCTCCTGTTAAACAGTTGAGGAAACTGAGGCTCACACTAATGAAGTGATTTGTCCAAGCAAATAAGCAGCTAAAACTCAAGGCCCCTGACCTTCTAGTCCAGTGGCCTTTCTCCCAAGTCTTGTGAGACGGCTCAGTTCATACTGATGTTCGAGTGTTGATGTGCTGGTCCTCATGGGTATAAATAGAATCAGCATTATAACATGGGCCGCCTGTGGGCCCTAACACATGGTGGCATTTCATGTGTGGTGAGGGGCGGGTGGGGCAGATGTCAGGGACGCAGCCCAGCTAATGGGGTGGCCCTCTCTGTGGAAGGATTGCCTTTCAACCCTAAGCAGAATCCTCTCACTCACCCTCCAGCTTCCTACGTGATCACGGACCTGACCCAGCTGCGGAAGATCAAGTCCATGGAGCGGGTGCAGGGCGTTAGCATCACCCGGGAGCTGCTGTGGTGGTGGGGCATGCGGCAGGCCACCGTCCAGCAGCTCGTGGACCTCCTACACCGCCTGCAGCTCTACCGTGCCGCCCAGATCATCCTCAACTGTGAGTAGCCAGGGTGGCCTGGGCCCAGGCGTGGCTCTGGTCTGGAGCATCTGTACTTAATCATGGCTCCTGAGCACAGTTTCAACATAAGCTGCACTTTCTGGCCTGCCTTAAAACTTTTTTTAATCTTTTATTTGCATTTTTATTTTAATGAAAGGGTTTGCTATCCAACATTGAATCTGGTGACAGTGGTTACCTCTGGGAAGAGGAATTAGTGGACAAGGAATAAGGTGTTGGAGGGAAACTTTATTATAAATCCTTTTGTTCCTTTTACATTTTGGTTATCTATTCAAATATTCAATAAATAAAAAGTTATAACCTAAAAAATTTAAAAAGTATACAGTAAAAATGATTTACGCCTTCACCCTAGTTCCCCACTTTATGTCCCAAGAAATAACCACTGTTAACAGTTGCTTGTCTATATTACTATGCATGGATTAAAAAAAGAAATAAAAACCAATCCATTGCATCGAGTCAATTCCGACTCATGGCAACCCCATGTGTTACAGAGTAGAACTGTCCCATAGGGTTTTCTTGGCTGTAATCATTACAGAGGCAGATCTCCAGGCCTTTCTTCTGTGGTGCCACTGGGTGGGTTTGAACTGTCAACCTTTAGATTAGTAGTGGAGTGCAAACCATTTGCTCTACCCAGCAAACTTTTTCATGCATAGGCAGGTATATACATATGTATTCACAACCCCTTTTTAATACAAATAGTAGCACACTATCCATGCTGTTGTGTACCTTTTTTTTTTCACCTAACATTAGCTCTTGGAGATGTTTCATATCAGCACATGTCACGTTGCATTCCTTTGACAGATATACCGTGATTTGTTTAACTTATCCCCCGTTGTGTTTAGGTTACTTCTCGCATTTTTCTGTTTTATACAGTAGTGTGATGCACACTCTTGGACATACATACCTGTTTTTTTTTTGGTACATATGTGAGTATAGCTGTAGGATGACATTTTAGCACTGGAATTGCTAGGTTGATATTTTGTATATTTTCTATTTTTATTAATATTGCCAAATTACCCTTATACAAGAGCATATGATCATGGTGGGAAAGTATTTAACAGGCAATAATACTATACATTCTCATTATTCACTATAAAGTCACTGCAAACAGTTAATTAGCAAATACTAATTACATGTTAAGTCATTGCTCTTAGGGGAAATACAGGCTTAGGGTCCTGCAAGCCTCTGGTCACAACATTTTCATCAACTGAACAATACATGGCCTTGCTTTACGTGTGTGTATATTTAAACACACCTTATTTAATATATATTGTTGATCCATTAACATTGAACTCATGGCCAACAGCAGTATAGCTCATGTCTGAACCAAATTTATCTGACACGCGTATTTTCTCCATAAAGCACATCATAGCCTTCTTGCACTTAGGAACACAAGACAGCACTTCAGCAGTACACTTGGGGGCCATTTTAAACACAAAATCACCAACAAAAATGCAACAAACATGGCTTGTTCAACCTCAGCCGGGAACATGTACTTGGGTGACTCAAATTTTTCGCTGCTCTGTACACGTTTGTGAATGACTGCAAGAACGTCATGAGTATTGATTTTGGGGTTACAGTTAAACTTTAGGGGGTAGGTGACTTTGTAAGTATGTTGTTGTTAGGTGCTGTCAAGTCGGTGCTGACTCATAGCAACCCTATGTACAAGAGAAGGAAACCCTGCCTGGTCCTGCGCCATCCTCACAATCGTTGTTATGCTTGAGCTCATTGTTGCAGCCACTATGTCAATCCATCTCCTTGAGGGTCTTCCTCTTTTTCGCTGACCTTCTACTTTACCAAGCATGACGTCCTTCTCCAGGGACTGATCCCTCCTGATTACACGTCCAAAGTACGTGAGATGTAGTCTCACCATCTTTGCTTCTAAGGAGCATTCTGGTTGTACTTCTTCCAAGACAGATTTGACAACCCCCACAGTATGACAAACTGACAGACACATGGGGGTTGTAAGTAGGTAATATGCAAATAATGAGGATTGACTGTACCTCTGTACCTTGAAAGGTGGCTATGGAAGTTGAAGGAATGGAGTATGTCAATTGCCTGGCACTCAGCCAGGCTCAGCAGAAGTCCCTGCTCACATCCCCAAAGAGACCCCTTCAGTGTGGGGCCAGGGGCCAGTCTTTTAACAGGTACTTACTGAGCCCCTGCCCAGTGCCTGGCACTGTTCCAGTTTCTGGAAGTACAGTGGCCACAAAGCGACAGGTCCCTGACCTCGTGGAGTTGCATTGTGTTGTGAGGAGACAGTCAGTCTACAGGAAAACGAGTACAATAAATATACCAGTTAAAGAAACGGGCTGATAGGATACAGTGACCAGGTAGGGGAGCCTCCTGAGACAGGGTGGTTAAGGAAGGCCAGTCTGAGGAAGTGGGACTTGAGGAGCAAGTTGGGGCAAGAGAGCCTAGGGGAGAGGGAGCAGCATGGGTGTTCAAGAAACTAGAAGAAAGTGGGTGTGGTGGGGGGGAGAGAACAGGGCATGCAGAGCCCCCTGAGTGAGACCTGAGTGGGCCCTCCTTGTCCTATCTGGGGCTCCTGAGCTGGGAGTAACCTGGCTGAACCATCAGACACCAGGAGCACCTGCCTGACTGTACGTCCAGCCTACTGGAATCAGCGAGGGCTTCCAGAGGAGGGTGATGGGACCTAGAGCAAGAAGCTGAGGGGTGGGGGCTGAGAGGGCTCCACCTGCAGAGATAGAACCTGAGAGCAGGGTACACTGGGATGAGCCTGCAGGTGGTGGATCGAGAGCAGCAGACCAAGTCCTGCCTTTCAGGGCACCATGAGCTGCATGGGCAGACTGGACTGGGCGCCGGAGATATAAAAGGAACAGATTAAGCAAGGCAGCCATGTCCTGTCATTCACCCACCAAGAGACTCTCCAGTATGTAGGGTGTACAGGGGGCACAGGGCTGCTGCACACCTGGTCTTATCGGATGGAGGAGAGTTCCTCTGGTGGCAGGATGTCAGGTCTGGGGCAGGTAATGGGGAAGACACGGCCCATAGTGGGGGTGACACTCTATTATGAGACTCCTACCAGTTGCTCTCAAGTGGATTCTGACTCATGGTGACCCCACGTGTGTCAGTGTAGAACTATTCCGTAGAGTTTTCAAGGCTGTGACCTTTTGAAAGTAGATCACCAGGCCTGTCTTCCAAGATGCCTCTGGGTGGGTTTGAACTGCCAAGCTTTGGTGAGTAGTTCAGTGCTTAACCATTTGTGCCACCCAGGAGTTCTTCATGATACTCTCCCCATCCCACTGCCATTGAGGAGATTCCAATTCATAACACCCCTATAGGACAGAGTAGAACTGTGATGTTCATGTGGCATGCTGTCTCTCTCCCCCCATCTCTGGTTCTTTGCTTCCTTTCTTACTCTGTTCCTTTTATATCTCAAAAGAGATTGACTGAAGAAACACCCTACACTAATTCTGTCTCATTAACATAACAAAAAACCCATTCCCAAATGGAATTATAACCACAGGTATAACCAAAACCAAACCTGTTGCCTTCAAGTCGGTTCTGACTTATAGCAACCCTATAGGATAGAGTTGAACCATAGGGTTTCCAAGGAGTGGCTGGTAGATTTGAACTTTTCACCTTTTGGTTAGCAGCCGAGCTCTTAAGCACTGCACCACCAGGGCTCCACCACAGGTATAGGGGTTAGGATTTACAACACAAATTTTTGGGGAACACAATTCAATCCATAACACCCACTCTACTCCTAGCTCTAGATGAGGCCTTCAGTCCCTTCCTCCTCAGACTGGGGAGGGGTGACCTTCTCAGCTCACAGCCTCCCCTTCCCCTGGAACTGGCCTGAACTCCTTTCAGCCCACCTGGCCCTTCTGCCCAAAGAGGGTTTTCCTGGGTCCTATTAGACAGCCACCCTCTTCTCATATCCTTCCTCTCTGATCAGCCAGAGAGGCCTGAGGTGGTTTTAGAGTGACATGGTGAGGCTGCAGGCCTGCATTCCAGGCCTGGTGCAGCCTTTGGTTGTGTGACCCCGGCAAGTCCCCTTCCTTTCCCAGGCCTCAGTTCCCTCATTCGTACCATGAGGTGTTGGGCTGGATGGTATGTGCGCCTCGAACTCTAAGTAGTGATCTCTCTAGGCAGCCCTGGTGCCTTGGACCCTCCATGCTGCGCTTACCACATCGTGTTTGGTGTGACCAACCCGGTGGTTGGTGTGACTGACCCGGCTTTGGCTTCTCTGCATTCCCAGAGCCTGTGCCTTACATTGTTTTGAGAGCATTAATGAGAAAATCTTCATGAGTTCAACAGGAGGCAGGGAGGGGTGTTGAAGGGAAGAGGAAGAACACTGGATCTAGTTCAGTCAGGAGAGAGGCTGGGGTGCAAGCCCAGTCCACTTTGGGGGTGAAAGGCAGGGCCAGGCCAGACCCTGGTTTTGCCCTTCAGAGGGGGCTGACAGGTTGCAGGTTTGTCCTGAGGCTTGAAAGCAGAGAAGCACCAGGGACAGGGACTGAGTCACAGGCCCTTTTTGTTGGGCACACATTTACGTCAGAACCTGACTATTGACTAATCTCTACCACTTGTTAACTATGTCAACACACAATATAGTGCAAGTTTAAAGAAATACACTCATGCCAGTGTGGTGCTTTTGTTTTTTTAAGCTAACACTCACTGAGTACTTTTGACATGCCAGGCTCTGTGCTAAGTGCTTGACTGCTCCCAGCAGCCTTTGTGGATGGATACTCTAAGGAGCCCCATTCCCAAACGAGGAAACAGGCCAGGCATGGCTCAGTGACTTGCACAAGGGCACAAGTCTTGTCCCGACAAAGACGGAGGGCATACCCGGGCAGATACCTCTGGTTCCAGGACTGTCACTCTTGGCCTTTCACAGGGGAACTTCAACTGTATCAGTCCTACTTAATGCAGTCTTTCAGCTTCCAGGAAACCCTCGTGATACCTGTGACGTTGGCCTGTCAGCCTCTGTTCTGCTGAGCATCTCTACTCAGATT